AGGGGTCTCCACATGGCTGCTCCAGCACCCAGGGCTGCATCAGGGCAGGTCCATGTGGCTTCTCCTTGGGGATGTCTTGTAGAAAGTCAGCCTTGCAAGCTGAAGTTGGAACTGCTGAGGCAGCTGCACCCTGGTGCCACCATCACAAAGCAAGAAACCCGAGAACTAGAAAGGCGAAGCTCACCAAGCCATTTATCCCTCCGCCCTTTAATTAATCCCACATGTGTTGATCGGCCAGGTTTGCACAATAAACTAACTCACCACCTGATAGATTATTGGACAGTCCCTCACGGAAGGGCCACATGGAAGGGATGGTATATCCAGGGTGCAGTATAGCACTGATGAAACACATAACTATCCTATAGTTCTTTGATATTGTCTCCCCTTATTCTTATTGTCTTAGTTTTGACCTCATTAATACTGTGAGACTTGCGTGTTTTCATTTGTATAATTTAGATTGCTTGATACATGAAATCCAAGAGAGATAAACCCTTCAGAAATAGTATCAGAAGTAATGATTTCTTTAAGGTATGGGAAGAGAAGTGGGGGAAGGGAGGAAGAGGGAATCAATAGCAATGATGACATATAACCCCACTTGAGGGAACAAATAACAGAATTGTAGGTGAACAGATATAATGGATGGTATAAGATAAGGGAAAATAATAATAATAATAATAATAACAATAATAGGTAAGGTGGTGCAGGGAGGGGATAAAGGGGAACTGATATTAAAGAGTTCAAGAAGGAAGAAAATCTTTTGAAACTGACAGTGACAGCAATTGTACAATTATGCTTGATCTACGTGAGCTATGGATTGTTACACTATCTGTAAGAGTTCCCAATAAAATGACTAAAATATCTATATCTATATACATATACACGGAGGATAGATTGAGAAACAGTAGTAGCTTCATACTTTGAGGTTTCTGTTTACCAAGGGTCTATGATCTTGTAACTCTGGATTTACCCTCACATATTGCAAAATTACTTCCCGGAGCTTTGTGTTAGGGCCTCTATTTCCCAGTGCTCTTAACAGCAGCAGCTACAACACAGCTATCTTTAAATTGTCTGAGAATCTTTGTCAATTTGATGGGCTCAAAAGTGTCTCTTTGATTTTCATTTAACAAAAACATCTAAGGAAATTTTTTTCTTCACATACTTATTAAGGTTTTTTCTTCATATACTTATTAAGGTTTTTGCCTCTTGCCCCTTTTTAAAGGAAGTGTTAGTGTTTTCTTAAATATTTGTAGATGCTTTTCTTTATTATGAACATGATCTTCTCTGTCAGTATAGAGATATGATTTGATGTCAAAACCTCTTACAGCTATATGCATGCACGATCACAACTATATAAAAAAATGCATATCCTGATGGAAACTTCAAGTGGACTGAGAGGAATAAGACACCTTTAGCTGACATGCACCCATAAGCTCTATCCCTCTCTGCCGCACCATTCTCCTGTGCCGACCACCTCCACCTCCCAAACCCTGCACTCCCATTTCTGGCCATAAGTAAGTGGCTGTTTGAGAGCCTATCAGCCAGAATTTATTGGCCGCAATCCTGAGTCTCAGACTGAGCGCTGTGAATGTCTTCCAGTCATGCTCTGTTTTCCCCAGGAGCGACGCTGGTGGAAAGCAGTTCCGTACAGCCCACTTAGATAACAGGAAGTCGTTTCTTAAGAATGAATTTGGTTTCTCCCCAAGAATTCTTGTGGTGTAGTGGTTACCTGTTGGGCTATAAACCTCGTGGTCGGCAGTTCAAAACCACCGCAACTGTGTAGGAGAAAATTTGGGCTTTCTACTCCCATGCACAGTTACAGTCTTGGAAACCCACAGGGGTTCACTGTGAGTCAGCATTGATTCGATGGCAGTGAATTTGAGCTTGTTTCCCCCCCAGGAGGTTTGGGGCACTATCCACCCTGATGTCCTGTAACCCCAACTCAATCCTGTACAAATTGGAAGAGTGGCTGTGCTCACGTGTCTGAGACTCAGCCTGGGCCATTAGTTTTCTCTGCTATTAAGATTTGGTCTTTGAGGCCAATGACGTGTTTAGCAGAATTGACTAAGTCTTGGAGTTTATTCAACCTCAGTTGTGGATTTGAGTGAAAATACCAGATAGCCCCACATTAGGGCTTTTTAAGCCAACCATTTTAATCTGTCAGATTCTCTCCAGAGAATTGTGATAATCTATGAAACGGTGGAGTGGCTGGTGGTTTTGATCTGTGTACCTTATAGTTGCAAGCCCAATGCCTAGCCAACTACACCCTCAGTGCTCCTCTAGTAAAGAGTTAATATTTGGCATATCAAATTTAGCGCTCTCTTATTAATTCATAATTATGAATGCAAGATGATAAAATGTTATACTTTGTAATTACCTTTAAACTCTTTTGAAGAATAGGAATTGGGAAAGAACTGTTTGATTTTGAGCCTAACCAGAGCCTAAAACCAGGGTCTATCTTCACATCTGGGCTATTAAACCTGCAAAAAAAAAAAGAGTAAACATTTGATTGTGAAAAATGTAAGCACTTTTTTGTGTTCTCAGTATGTTCAAGTATGTTCTCAGAATAATAGCATTATGACATTTAGCATGACCTTTCAGATCATTGTTGTAGTCAAAATCTTATCAGACTGCTTAACAGCTTCAAAAGAAGTTGACCCACCAATTTCCAATTTTAAAAAGTATCTTTTCCTTCCATAAGCACACAAGCAATATATGCTAATTGAAAACAAACAAACACACCAAAGTAAATAAGTAAACAAAAGCAAAACAAAATAAACTGAATAAAATGACAAATTAAGAAAAAACTAAGAGTTCCATTGACCAAATTTGGACAACTGAGTATCAACATAAATGACAACAGTTACAGATTGTAGTCATTTATTAACATTAGCATTCTTGAATCCATACTAATATAATGAATGAATAGCGAAGGGAAAGTTCTTCCTTTAATTAATTTATTTTAACAACCTCCCCTGCCACACCTGCAAGAAACCACTAATCCAGTTACTGTCTCTATAGATCTACTCATCCTGGATTTCAGACAGAAACACACACACACACACACACACACACACACACACACACACAGCAAAAAACCCAACAGCAAACACAAAACCGAGAAAAATCTTAATTGAAAAGAAAGCAGAAAATATTAAAAACTAGAACACATTAAAATGGGTCAAAAGGGAGATCAAATGGTAAGGTGTTGAATTGCCTAATTTCTTCTGCCTTAATCCACGTTCCAATGCACTGTGCAGGATAGTGAGGTCATAGACCTCCGTGATCGATGGCCGGTGGGAATTCACCAGAGGCTTAATCCATGTATAGTTCCCATTCACTTTATTTATTAATTTTAAAAACTGAAACAACGTTAAAATGTGTCAAAAGGGAGAGCAAATGATAAGATGTTGCATTTTCACTTTACTACATCGGCCACAATTGACTTTACAATGATTTTTGTCTGATAACAAGGCTATTCACGTCTTTCAACTACAGTCAGAGGGGATTCACCAGAGCCTTAATCCATGTAGGGTCCCTGCCAACGGATCCTGGGCTCCCAGTCTCAAACAGAGCCCTGCAAAGGAGGTGTTCACATTTAACCTTTGGTACTCATCTCTGAAAAGTTCTTCCCTATAGCAAGCAAGCACTTCATAAATGTAGAAGGAATTACGGAGCTAGAAAACAATTCAGTCCATTGTGATCAATGGCTGTTAGAACAAAGGTAGAAGGAACTGTGGAGTTAGTGGGATTTCAGATAAATTTTGTTTTACTGTTTCATTTTTCTATGCTTATTTTAGATTTTTGTTTGATTTGGGTTGATGAAAATTCAGACATATACATAGTCTGAATGTACATATTAACTAGAAAGGGAAAATTATTTTTAAATTGTTGAAAGCACATAGTCTGAGAATAGCAGGGTGACTGGTATTAGCAAAGCTTTTAGAAATGTAAGGCATGCAATCCAGTCTGGCTTGATAGCTTGATGCTCGCGGCATACCATCACAGCACAAAGAACAGGTGGCCTCTGAACACCTGTCTTCCGTTCCCCGTTGGTCACGGACAGCAAAGCGGGCGGAAATGCAAAGCTGGAGGAATGAAATCCACAGACTGTTACCTGGTCACAAACTGCCGGTAAATACACACAGTGAGAGTCCTCGAGATTTCAGCAGTCCCTTTCAACTGTTCCTGTCGCAAACCACAAGGCTGAGCCTAAGGACAATTGTGCCTGCAGTGGGAGAGTCGCTGCTTTGGACGTATAACCACGAACAGGGGTGAACCAGAGAAAGTCCGAGTAGGTGCTTAAATATAGGACATACAAATAAATCATCCTTGAAGGTATCAATGCATGTATAAGGCACTACTCCGGACTGGGAATGCTTAGAGACTACTAAAAGCTGTGGTGCGTACATGTGTCTATGTATGCATATACAAGTATGTCTGGCAGTGATATGCAGGACAGAGAACAAAATCGAAATGTCTTCTTCGTAGTCAAGTTCTCAGAAAAAAAACAACCCACAGCTGAAGTCCCCGTAACGGCCCAACGCTTTATTATTATTTTTAATTGATGTTGTTGGGAGCTCTTCCAGAGTAGCATTGCATCGTTCAGTCACATCAAGCAGTATCCCAGCACTTTATAAGCACAGAAAATGTACCCATTTCCAGTTCTACGTCACGGTTTTTATAGGCAAGCTGATCGATCCCTTAGAAATAAATGTTAAAACGCTTACGATTCTATAATGGTGGATAGGCATGGCATAAAGGAGGCTGACAGGTGGCAGTTCTGGAGGAAGACCCACTGTTCTGGTTTGTTGAGGGCCTTAACAATGAAATCTTCTGCTTTAGCTGCCTGGCCACAGCCCAGAGAAATCATGGCCACGTGCTGTGTTGTTCCTTTCAGTTCTTGTGCAAATCTCAGGAGAAGGGCCGTAGGGTCAATCCCTGTATGTGGGGAAGTATACTTGTTAATTTAGTTAATTCTTTCTTAAAAAACAAAATCCAGTATTTAAAAAAAATACTTTTATTGGGGGCTCTTACAGCTCTTATCACAATCCATACATTCCTCTAGTGTGTCAAGCACATTTGCATATGCCGCCATCATCATTTTCAAAGCATTCTCTTCCCACTTGAACCCCATATCTGCTCCCCATTTCTTCCCCCTCCCCCGCACTGATCCTCCCTGTCGAACCCTTGATAAGTTATAGATTAATTTTTTCCATATCTTACGTCACCCTCTGTCACCCCTCACCCACTTTTCCGTTATTCACCCCCCTGGGAGGGGGTTCTATTGATCCTTGTGATTAGTTCCCCCTTTCTCCTCCCACCCTCCCCTAATCCTCCTGGTATCTCTACTCTCCTTGTTGGCCCTGAGGTTTATCTATCCTGGATTCCCTGTGTTGCGGGCTCTTATCTGTAGCAGTGTGCATATTCTGCTTTAATCTGATTTGTAAGGTAGAATTGAGGTCATGATAGTGGAGTGAAGGAAGCACCAAAGAACTAGAGGAAAGTTGTGTGTTTCATCGGTGCTATACTGCACCCTGACTGGCTCCTCTCTTTCCTGTGATCCCTCTGTGAGGGGATGTCCAATTGTCTACAGATGGCCATTGGGTCTCTACTCCATGCCCGCCCCCCAGCCCCCAGTTCACCTGGGGTATTGTTTTATTCTGGGTCTTAGATGCCTGATACCTGATCCCATTGACACTTCATGATCACACAGGCTGCTGTGCTTCTTCCATGTGGGCTTTGTTGCTTCTGAGCTGGATGGCTGCTTTTTGCTATGTCTTTTGATAGCCAGACACCATCAGCTTTCTTCACCACATCGCTTCTTGGCCTTTTGGCTAAGATCAAGTGTAGTTTTCTTCATCACATTTGCTATGCACCCATTTTGTCTTCATTGATCATGTCAGGAAGGTGAGCATCACAGAATGCCAGATTGTTAGAACACAGTGTTCTTGTGTTGAGGGAATACCTGAGTCAAGGCCCAATGTCCATCTGCAACCTTAATACTTAACATATAGATAGTAATACATAGTTCTATTCCCCTCTCATTATATATATATATATTTACATATGTACATGCCTGTATTTAGGCCTCTATAAATGTCCTTTGCCTCCTCGTTCTTTCCTCTATTTCCTTTTTACTTCCCACTTGTCCCACCATCATGGTTGGCTTTTATTTGTGTTTAGTAATTCCTCACTGCTACATTTTGCCCTGGCAAAATCCAGTATTTGTTGCATCATGATCGGAGAAGGTGTAACCGTCGAGGAAAAACTCTAGGCCTCGATGTCAAGATTCAAAGTGAAGAATTTGGACATTGTCACTTACTAACTCAGTGACCTTGGATTTCTAATACTCCAGGGTGACCTCATTTCCCTCTGTAGTAACTGCTGGCTGTCTACTCCAACATTTATTCGTCCCTTCCTCCTCTGTAGCTGAACCACATTGTTATTTAAGATGGCTGTGTGCCCAGCTAAAATATCACCTATTTTAGCCTCTCCTGTGGCTGGGTTTGGGCATTGAAGCTTTGTGGAAAGGTCTTGGAAGGGAAGGTTTTTTCACAAAAGTGTTGCAGGTGTGCCCTTCTGTCTTTCTTCTATTGAGGTTTGCCACGTGGAGTCGATGCCTAAAGCCCTTCCCTGCCATCACAGCTTACGTTTCGGAGTAATTGACCTGCTGTGAGCGCTGATGAAGAATATTGCAAGCACCATGTACTTCCAGGACAATTGAACAAAAAAAGGTCTTGGAGGAAGTGCAGCCAGAATGCCCCTTAGAAACAAGGACGGTTTGGACGTGTTATCAGGAGAAGAGAGCCTGGTAAGGGACGTTGTGCTGGGTAGAGTAGAGGCCAGCACAAAGGGAGGACCCTTGGTGAGATGGATGGACGCAGAGGCTGTAACAAGGGACTCACACATACCAACAATAGTGAAGTCAAGTCACAACAACAACTCTGAGTGTGTTAGGCTCATAACCAGTACCAGGTTGCCATTGAGTCCAGTCAACTGAGGGGCATCCCAGGTGTGCAGAGTCAAATGGGGTGTAATCTTTTGGAAGTAGGTTTAAGAGTAGTGCTTTCTTCCAAGGAGCCTGTGGGTGGGTTTGAGTGGCCAACTGTTAGGTTATTAGTCGCACACTTAACCCGATGTGCTGCCCAGGGAGTCTATCAAGCTGATGGCCTGGGGTTTTACACAGGAACAACCTCTTGGTGGAGGCACTATAGATAAAGTCTTTGCTTAATGAGCTTGAACTTTTTAAAAAAAAATCATTTTATTGGGGGCTCGTACAAGTCCCATCACAATCCATACATACATCCATTGTGTCAATCACATATGTACGTACATTTGTTTCCATCTTAAAACACTTGCCTTCCACCTGAGCCCTTAATATCGGCTGCTCATTTTTCCCCCTACTGAGCTTGAACTTTTAAAATGGTGGAATGAAGACAAACAGAAGATACATGAAGAAAATGCTCGAAAGCTCAGGAAAATGGGAAAGAAAAAAAAAAAGAATTTGAAGAATTTGAAAGCAAGGGCTGGACCAGAGGACTAATCAATGATCGTTTGCTGTGTGTATAAGGATGCCCGCAAGACAGGACCAAATACCCATTTATCAACTATCGAGGGCTCATGAGGGAGTGGGGAGCGGGGAGGGAGGGGAAAACTGAGGACCTAATGCCGGGGATTTAAGTGGAGAGGAAATGTTTTGAGAACGATGAGGGCAATGAATGTACAAATGTGCTTTACACAATTGAAGTGTGTATGGATTGTGATAAGAGTTGTATGAGCTAATAATAAAATGATTTTTTAAAAAAGATAGCAGTCCAAAATGACACTCAAAGAAAAAAAAAAAAGGATGCCCACCCACGTACACACTACCAGGAAAGCCCTGGACTGTTACCACGATGTCGGTGGGAGAAAGATGAAGTGGTGTGTGCTTATGAAGACTTACAGCCCAGCAACCTGATAGGGCTGCTATGAGTTGCAATGGGCTCAATGGCGGTGGGCTTGGTTTTATATATTTACACACACACACACACACACACACACACACACAATTCAGATATACTTACATAGCAGGGTAAGTAAAATTGCTACAAAATCCCAGAAACCTTTATGAAACAACAACAACATATCAAACTGTGGATCTATTCTTTCTTGGCACATCCTCCATCGATCGAGGCCATGCATATCTGAAAACCGTGTTTCCCTCTGTCTAACCTTTCCCCAAGAAGTCTTAAAACTTCCTTTTTATAACCCCCTGAGATTATCCTGTGTCTTTTGAAAAACATCTATCAGGATACCCCTTTGTGGTGCCCCCAATACTTGCCACACCTTCTGGGCTGACCTCTCTGCCTTGAACTTAACTGCCTGCAGCAGATCCCCTCCGGAGCCACTGTGTGGAAGGCACTCCCACAAGACCAAGACATGCGTGTTATCGAGAGAACCTGACTGCAGCCTTCTACTGATCACAGAGACACGTTCCGTGTGGAACATATCTGCGCACGTGTGACCTGGAACCCTACCTGCAATACTTACTGACTTACCCTCATGATATATGTTTCATCTACTCATATATGTACACACACACACACTCACACAAAGGACTTCAGAAAGTGAATGGAAAAATAGAAAAGATGATGGATTTTTTGGCACAATTTTTTGAAACTCCTGTGTATGTATGTATATTTATAATATATATAATCACAAATGAAGCTTAATCAGAATAGTTCATACAGGTAAGGACAACCTCAAACATAACATAAATAGCTCATGTTTGGAAGGCATTACCTGCACAGAATACATCTGTACTGATAAAAATTTTTGTATTTATGAATCTGATAATTTCTCTTCATGTTTTACATTTCGAGAAATATGGTGCTTAATATAGTTTAACATTTTAGTTGGTTCATTTTCCAAGATATTGAAGCAAGAATAGGAAAATACTTCAGTTCCAGAAACCTGACCCTTTCTGAATGTTCCCTCCCTTGTCCTTTGACTGCTGCGGCGCCGTTGTGGAACCGCCCGAAGGAGCTTACCGTGAGAGTGAATGAGAATCAGCGGCATTCTGCCATTGGACTCTTCGTAGGGCTCTTTCAAGTTAATTTCAGTTGTATGAAGATACTCAGTTCCCATATTTTCAGTTATAAATTTTCTCACTGAATCCCTTAAACTTTCTGGTTTAAGAATTTTCACCTAGCAAAGAAAATGGAAGGCAAATTTAAATGTCACCCAGAGGCAGACTCCCCAGTTCAAAGAACTCTGAGGTGCAATGGCTAAGCGCTTGAAGCAGCAAGGTTGGCAGTTTGAACCCACCCAGCATGGCGATCTACTTCCATAAAGATCGCAGCCGAGAAAACCAGCGAGGCAGCTCCGCTCGTCAACGGGGGCACTAGAAGTTGCAGTGTGGGCAAGTGCCTGCCACCACAATAGTTTGGAAAGTACACCAAGTGTCATCCCAGCAGCACTGACTTGAAAGTCAAACTGTTTAAGCGAATCCTGTCTCTACCTGGCAATTTCGAACTGTGGTTTCCTGATCTACCTCCTGAGATTATTGTGGGCGGAAATGAAGTCAAGTGACTCAGGTGTGCAGCATCTACTCAGCTTTGGACAGCGTTAGGACTCCAACCACCCCTCCTCTCTCCCTTAGATTCTGAAATCCCCAGGCAGATTCTAAACCAAACTGAGAAACAGAGGAGTCAGGCAAAATGTCACCCTTATGAATAACTAAGAGCATGTTGGTGGATGTGGTTTGGTGAGGCAACGGGATGCCTCCTGACTCAGAGATTTGGACTAGACAAGTGGACAGACTCACGGGGCATAAGGAGAGCCGGGCAGCCTCCTCTACAAGGGTCAGTGTCTGTTATTAGACCGTTTTTTGGCATTGGAGACTGGGAAGATGGGACTCAGCCACGCACTCTCAGTATAGCTTTTAAATCGACCTGTCTTAAAAGTCCTTCCTCCTCCCTAGGGAGGAGTGCCTAAGGTGACAGGAGATGCCAAGAGGGAAACTCTAATTCAGTGATGGGGATGTGCATCAATGCCAGCTAACAGGACATGCCTCACATGACCCACAGCACGCTCACTGTCACTGAATCGCTGCTGATTTATAGCGACCATATAGGGCAGGGCAGAACTGCCCCTATGGATTTCTGAGACCATAACTCCTTCTGGGAGTTGAAAGCCTAGTCTTTCTCCTGAGAGCGGATAGTGGTTTCAAACTGCTGACTGTGCAGCTAGCAGTCCAACGAGTAACCACAATGCTACCAGGGCTCCAGTCATCACACTAGGGGTGAATTAATGGAATGTTTGAGCAGTATGGCCCAAGAATATTCTGTAAATATCCAAATGGCCCTTGGCAGACAAAAGGTTCCCCGCCTCTGCTCCAAGTGAACTCATGTGAAAGAAATATTAAAAGTGGAATATACATGCTTCCTTTAAATATTAATAATCAATGTTGGTTTTAAAAATTGATCTAATTTAGTTATAAAAATAGAGTTCGAATGGTTTTAGTAATTAAGTCCCCCAAACTTTTAGAATATTAATATTTTTCTCATAGCAAATCTTACCAAAATAAGTCTTTGAAATGTAGTGAGCTTCTCCCAGGGAAAATTAACAGGATAACACATGTCTGCATCTTCATTTAAAAGTTCAGCTAGGTTTCATTTGGAACAAGAAAGTATAATTAACAATCAAGTGCTTTGGCTCATAAAAAGCTATCTTAATGAAAATTTAGTTATGAATTTGTGACTGTTTAAAAAACATGTCTGACTTATTTTATTTTTCTTTTTATTAATAAATCATTTTATTGGGGGCTCTTACAGCTCTTATCACAATCCATACATCCACTGTATCAAGCACATTTGTACATATGTTGCCATTCTCCTTTTCAAAGCATCTTCTTTCTTCTTGAACCCTTGATATCAACTCCTCTTTTTTCCCCACTCTCTCCCCCGCCTTCCCACCCTCATGAACCCTTGATAAATTATAAATTATTATTATTTTCATATCTTCCACCATCTGCTGTCTCCCTTCACCCATGTTTCTGTTGTTAGTCACCCTGGGTGGGTGGTGGGTGGGTTATATGTCGATCATTATGATCGGTTCCCCCTTTCTCCCCCCCACCTTCTCCCTACCCTCATGTATTGATACTGCTATTACTGTTCCTGAGGGGTTTATCTGTCCTGGATTTGTGTGTTAACAGCTCTTGTATGTACCAGTGTACATGCTCTAGTCTAGCATGTGCTCTGGTCTACCTTACAAAGGTAGAACTGGGGTCATGACAATGGAGGTGGGGAGGAAGCATTAAAGAACTAGAGGAATGCCGTATGTTTCATCAGTGCTACACTGCACCCTGGCTAGCTCGTCTCTTCCTTATGACCCTTCTGTGAGGGGATGTCCAATTGTCTACAGATGGGCTTTGGGTCTCCACTCCGGCCCTCCTCATTTGCATTAATGTGATTGTTTTGGCTCTTTTGATGCCTGATTACCGATCCTGTTGACACCTGGTGAGCACACAGGCTAGTGTGCTTCTTCCATGTGGGCTCTGCTGCTTCTTTGCCGGGGCTGATTTCTTATAAAGTGAGGTTTGTGTCCATCAGGTATGGAGCATCAGCACTGTCCTTACAACCAAAGAAAGCTCAAACCTATTGCCATCAACTTGATTCTGACTCCCTGCACCTTAAAGAACAGCATTGAGTGGCTCCTGTGGGTGTCTGAGACTGCAATTCTTCATGGGAGTAGCACGCCTCGTCTTTCTCCTGCACCTATTCTTAGTACTTCACAAAAGGTAGACATGAAGGTAAGTTTAAGTTTCCTGCTGAATTGATTGATGATTTGCGTGATAATAACCTGCTGAGCAGTAGAAAGGGCATAACTGACATTATAACCTGTTCTTGCATATATAATGTTTTCTGATGAATGTGAAGTGAGTCAGTAGTAACCCCAGGGGTTAAAGATTTCTATTCATAATTCAGATGTAGGGAAAAGGGAATCAAATGGACAGAGAAGGAGATTACAACATTTAAAAAGAATTAAAGATGATATTGTCATTTTAAAAAAATCTGGGGTCTTCTTAACCACACTCTTCTTCCCACTGCAGGAGAGTCCTACTCTTCTGCCCTGTGGGAAAGGGACTGCTTTTAACCTCCCTTTCCTTGTCTCTAAGGAGCCTCCTGGCTGACTTCTTCCAAGATAGATTTGGCGTTTTTTTGGCCGCCATGGTGCTATTCTCCTCCAGCACCACAATTCAAATGCATGGATTCCTCTTCGGTCTTCCTTATGGAGTTCCCAACTCCCCAGGATTGCTGTGAGGATCACATTAATGTGAGGAGTTGTGTTCCTCCCGCTTGGTTGGGAGGTGCTATTTTTGGACCACTGCAAGACATCCTTGGAAGGCGGTCCGTCTCAAAAGAATATTGCAATCAAACAGGCCGCATTCCAGATTGGTGCTCTCTCAATAACCCGCCATTGGAATTGAGGTTTGATGTCGGGAAAGCCCAACCCACCTCTGATGAAGAGAGCATTTTCCACTGAGAAATAAAAGTTTGGTTAAAATTCAACTTTGCTTGATTTCAAATATTTAATCAGTTCTAAACAAATTGTTGGAAGTATGTAAGATGTGTTGTTATATGCAACTTTTATAGAGATGTAGACATTTTATATTTACTTCTGCATTAATATTTAGTTCTTTTTTATTTTGCTTCTCTTATGTAGTAGCACAGTGCCTGCTAATGCTTGTGAGATTTTGCTGTATTTTTAACAATAAAATATAGTAAAATAAAAGATATCGGGCCACTTTATAGAATCATGAAGCTATACATACATGCGTACTGAATGAGAATAAGACATTGGACACTCTTACTTTTCTCTGTTGTAGCCTTTTCTGATGCGAAGGGCGTGCTCATCAGAAAATACACAGCCTTATTGGTGTGAAAGGCGTCCCACTGTGGTTTATTAGAGAGAAGAGATTTGCACAGGAGCGAGAAGGGTTCTAGCTGACTGCTGAGATACTGGCACTCTTTCCACCTGGGCTCCGACAGCCACTGAAGACACCGGCTCTTAACCCTTTCGTATGCGCCTAGGGCAAGAGAACATGTGGCCGCGTTAGAAGAGACGCGGCCTTTGACTTGCAGCTACTCGTTGCAAAGTGGAGACTTGATCCATGTGTGTTGCTGAGAAAAGCCATACTATATAAAAATGAATTACAGAAAAGAGAATTCTTAAAGGAGACTTAACTTTAAAAAATGATAATGTTTTCATTAAGACTAGAATCCTGGTTAAAAATTAAGACCCTTTCTTAGATGTTCATTTCGTACTTACTGTAGACTACAAAAAGACAATGAGAAGAACTTAAATGTCTATCTTAGGACAGTGGCTAGATACATTTGGGTATATCCAAAATCGTAATGTTTTGCAGACACCAAAAAAAGGGTTTTAAGTATATCTGTTGAGATCAAGAACTCTTTATAATGGGCCACCTCTCCCTTTCTCCACCCTACCACAAACTGTTAATAAATAGTTTGAAAAGAGTATTAATAAGTGTGTGAACCAAAGTAACTTAAAAAAATAATGCTTAGGTATATTTAGGGAAAATAGTGGAAGACACATAAGACAAAAATACTAATACTAGCTTATCTCTGGATAGTGAAATTATAGAAAATTTCTCTTTTTGATTATTTTTGTACATTCTAGTAGCATTAGTCACAAGCACATATTGCTTGCACAGTAAAAAAAGACCTCTCAAATTTTGTTCTATATTTTAGTTTGTTATTGAGCTATTATTATTGATTTTCACAAGCAAAAGAGTATTAGTAAACCCATAAAATCAGTCATTGATTCCCAAGTAAGTAATTTACCAAGGCGCCACAAAACAAACCCAAACCATCCACATATCTAGAATCCTCCTGCAATAAATGGCAAGGAGGGGGCATACCCAGCCTCCCTGGCTTCCCTCGTGCATGAGGAAAGGCTCAGACATGCTTCCACGCTCCAGCCTTCGACACTCATTCCGACACCAACGGTTCCTTCCACTCTCCTCCTGGGCTGGGTTTGATCATCGCTGCGATGGCCACCCAGAACTCACAGACAATACTCATGAGGAAGGGGGTTGATTAGGGAGGTTAATAGATGATCACACATCAGGATCAGCAAAGAGTAAGAATACGATGGTCATTGATTGACAATACTAGCCCTCCCTCGTCAGGAGCCAACTTTCTCTCTGGTCCTCCACCTCTCAGCCTTATGGTCTCTTGGCCTTTGCCAGGAAGCCAGCCAGCCCTGTGTCTCACAGTTCGAGCTGAGAGAAGGCATCCTGTGGGCTTGGCACGGCTCCTCTGAGTGTTCATGCTGTAGTCTCTGCAGCAGCTGGCCCCGGCGGCCTCTGCCACTTCCAAGGGAGTCACGGACATCTTTCCCAATGGTCTTGGGGTTTCTCTCTGTGTTTCAGATGGCTCTTACGCACGCAGGAATGACTGATGGAGGTGCGATTCTTGTCTTTTAGCTGACCATCTTCCCCAGGAAGGCTGGTGTCCTAAAGGGATGGTGCTCCTTTGGTAAAAATCAAAAGGCCAAACTCACTGCTATTGTGTCACGGCTGACTCTCAGGGACCCCCGCTAGGTTTTCGAGACTGCAACTGTTCATGGGAGTAGAAAGCTCAGTCTGTCTCCCTCAGAGCTGCTGGTGGTTTCGAACTGCCAACCCAACACATAAGAAACAAAGGCTGTGATTTGGTTCATACCCTCGACTAAGGCCAGGACTGAACTCCACTTTAAGAGAGAGCTCCCTCCTCCACGTAGGCCCAGGATGACAGCACATCGCAGAAGGGATGATGGCGAGCAGGGTCCCATAATTGACTACATCTCATCTTCATTCTTGGCAGGTTTGCATTCTAATTTCTAGCCTTTGTTAATAGTCTCCAAAGATTCGAAAAGATTCCTGTCAAACATCACTTTCCCTCCCTCAGTCAGGCTGCCTGACTTCCTTTAAGCATTCTCTTTGTGCGCGGGTAACTTAAAGAGGGCAACACAGAAACATTTGGGAAGACGAAGGAGCGAAATCATTTTGTCAAACCTTTTTGAAAAGCTCGATGCTTGTCATACCTACTTTCAGCAGAAATGGAGGGAAACTGTCCTTCGTAGGAGTTAAGCTTAACTCGTGCTGGTAGCTAATGCATGTGTATGTATAGCATCTGAGCAGCAATTACTGTTAAGTACTGCAGGCAATAGAACAAGAAATTAGACATGGCCCTTGACCTGAAGCTGCTTTAAGTTTACTCAGTTCCAAGAGCATTAAGTTGGAGGGGCACCTGAGAAACATCTTAATTGCATCTTATAAGACACATGTTTTTAATACCTTCTTACTAAATCCCAAGTAATTATGTTTACTTACTATCAAGTTTAGGCTGGGGCATTACACCTTTAATGTTTACCAATGTGCCCGAATTTAAGAAGACATCCAGCTCTTCAGCCGGTAGGGACCCCATGTGACTCCACACCGGATTCTCTCCAACATTATTCTGCATGATCGCAGTGCACAGCCGAAAGGAGAAGCACAGCTTGTGCTGATTAAACAGGCAGGAAGAAACCACCTGCGGGGACAGGCATGGTGAGACTTAGCCATCCAGGTGAGCAAGGGACGCAGCCATCACGTGACGGCCTATCACCCGGAAACGATTTCTTGTTAACAATCCCTATCTCACCTTAAAAATATTTCTTGTTAACACATCTACCGAATTCTTAATGCTCTCGGTCAAGGCATTTCCCGCACTTTCCCGGCCAGGTTCTGGTAAAAGATTTGCCATCGCAGGCTCTTGGCTCGCCTCTTGCACGCTCGAAGCGGGCCTGACGTGCACCTGCTTTGGGCTTTTGGAAATAACGGATGCCACGAAGACCTGGCGGAACCAGTCGAGGGAGAACTGGTACATGTAGTTGAGCTGCTTGAGGTCGGCTATCAGGAAGTAGAGCAGGGCGCCCTGAGTAGCGATGGGAAGGTAGCTTTTCCGGGTGGCTTGGATGTCGTATTCGGCCCTTTCGGTTGCTTTGATGCGCTTTGAAATTTCATTGGAAGTCGTTTTGGATTTTTGTAAGATGTCGACGAGATCCTCATCGTCTAATATGCAACCTAAAGACAGACAAGAAGTCGTTTAAATAAACCCATGCTAGTGATGAGTGCTATTTCCCCCTTCTGTATTCCTTACTCTGTGAAAGTTTTTACCGTTGGCTTCTTATTGGGTTTATTTGAAGAGGGCTCTTCTGCCCCAAGGGGGAGACCTCACATGGGCTGGGGTCACTCCTTCGAGAAGGGGGCCAAGGGAGAAGACCATCCCCTTGAGGCTGTGCAACTCTGAGACACGGCTGTGACAGACCACCGGGTCTCCCACAGGAGTGGGAGGAGAGCCTTACTGGACAAGCGAGTCCAGACCCGTTCAGACACCCACATTTCAGAGGAAGCACTGGCATTTCGTTGATGGGTAAATGGAGAGGAGCAACCCCACGTCGGGAAGGGATGCTAAACAATAACTGTCGGAGAACCTAACTGGGGAATAAAACACTCTGAAGAAGTTTCTATCCAGACCTCCGTGAACTAAGCACAAGGTGGCCTTAGACGGTGGCCTGGCACCCCCCAGGGACCACACTAGAAGGACTTGAGGTGAGAGCCTCAATGAATGAACTGGGCCCTACCTCAAACTACTGGCAGCTCTTGGACTTAGGACTGAAACTCCCTGAAGGGGGAGGCAGCAAAAGATGGCCACTTCAGGACTGTGGAAAGGGCAGTTGCTGGACCTTGAGTAGGACCCCTGGCTTGGTGGGCATCCAGTGAAGAGGGACCCAGATTCACCATAGATTTCGTTTCTGGATGCTCCCCTTGTATCACTGTGACAGGTTCATCTGATAGGCAAGGATCTTCCCTTGTTAGAAATGATTCCATAAGTTTCCTCTAGCACCAACTCCCACACGCAATGCAAACAGAGATCAATCAATCAAGAAACCAATCCGCACAAAGCAACAGCCCATTGACTGCAGCTTGTGGTTGCTTTTTGAACAAAACACCCTGTAGAAATAAAGATGATAATTCTCCCCCTTTCAAATACTTAGAGCAGTGCTTATGTTTCCATGCTTTGTTTCTGTTTTATGATCTAAAGATATAAATATTCCCATTTCCTCATCTGACTTTGATATGACCTGATTTCTGCGCTGCTCACCATCCAGGACGCTCAGCTCTGGACACTTCCCTTTGCGACGAGCCCGCTCAGGCTGTGGCATCCACCGTCAAACCCTTGATATGGTTATGAAAGGTTATCAAGAGGTTATTCTGTCCCAGGGCCTGGATACCATATTCTTATTGCTACGGGCAAAGTTTTCTAAGCGATGCTTCTGTTATTGGTAGAATTATTATCCCACTCCTGGGGATGTGGGACAGCTCTCCCTGTCTCCACCCTATCTCCACCCTACCACCTCAGTTCCCATGGGTGAGGTGGGGAGAGCCCAGGTAGAGTCTAGTAACAATGTTAGTGTTACTCTTCCTTGGGAAGGAAAGGGAAAGGTTCTAAGCCAAGTCAAGGAGTCTGTTATTTATTTTAGTTGCCCCCCCTCCGTAATTGTTACTGAATCAGCTGCTATGAGGGACCAACTCCAAAGACAGAACAGCATGTGGTGCTCTCGTGTGTGTGAGCTTCGACCATTTTTTTGTTTGTTCTATTAAATCCAACTCTCGCAGCAAGGAACACAGCAGAAGAGGACGTTTCCCATATGAGTGTTTCGTTCAATGGGGGTGGTTATTTCTGAATCTTGTTAGATGCGTTGCTTTGCTTTCTGTGTGTAGTTACAGGATACCTAGATGTCCCTGTTTTAGTCCCAAAGATGTTGCCGGCCGATGGTTGCAATCTTACACGAGAAACCAATGGAAACCTTGTCCAATCAATAGTAGAAGCCTAGCTTATTCTTAGGGGATCATGAAGCAGGTTAATATGCACTAAAACAGAAATAGGATAAAGACAGATCCTTCTAGGCCTTAATGGGTGTCTTAAAACTTTATGGTAAACAAATATCGTTTTTGCTTGCTTTTTTTAATTCAAGAAACTAAGTTTTTTCTGCAAATGCAAGACAAAGAAAACAATGGGGTTTGCTACTTCCAAACGGCTTTGAAAATTCAGAGAAAAGCAAGCAAGGTATAGACCCCAACCCAAATGAGGTGGCAGAACAGGTTTTGCAGTGAGTAGAGACAATCACCTGTACGGCATGTCCCAAGGTTGACGTCTGTTAGGAGTTTAGCGTTTACCAGACCACTGTCCCCAACTCCCCGTGCTCCACTGCGCTCATCCTGAGTGGGGCGATGCTTCAAGCTTGGCTCCTGATTAGCTAAGTGGTCTTGTTTATATTCTTTTAAACAATATGTTTTAAATGAACTCGTATGTCACTAACGAATCTAAGTCCACTTCCATTATATGTTTCCTTCTTTCAGTCACTCAGACCGATGTTTAGATCTGAGGGGGAAGGAGTCTGGTGGGTCCTCTCTATAATATTGCTAGTATGAATATTTACATTAGGCCTCTTTTTCTCTTTTTGTAAATATGGCTGCAAGAATTGAGTTTCAGATTTCATTTCCTTATAAAGATTCTCCTCTTAACACACCTACCTTTCCTAATCAGTCAAGACAATGGCAAACAGGCAGCTGTGAAAGTTAGGTTTATTGTGTCAACCTGGCCAATAGGAATATGTGGAATTAATCAGGTCGCAGTTTGATTGGAGGGCAACGAGATAAATGGCTCTGCAAGGCCCGCCCCTGTCTCTCTGGCTCTCTGGTGATAAGACCAGCATGCTGTTGCTTTAGCGAGTCCTCTGCCTCAACCTGTGTGCTGCACCACCTGTGGGCCAAGCCAAGTCGTGGTTCGTGTCACTAGAGCCTGAGGCTCCGTTGAGACCTGCTTTGCCACGCTGCTGGTGCTACATGGCTTGAGCTTGAGGCTGGTGGATCCTGTCGCCTTGCATTGCTTGAGTTTGATATCCCATCCAGGCCTGCTTCGATAAGCTCCCAAGCTACTGACTGTTGCTGACCCACCCTGCTGTTTGCTGCCTGCCTGGCCTGAGGGAAGACTCCACTGCCTGCTTCCTTGACCTTGGACCTGACAGCCCACTTGAGTCGAAGGACTTCTAGTATGTTAACTTGTTCCATGAAAGTGAGTTGAACTGAGCCCTCTGGACGTCTGTGTGGACTAATTAGCTGTTATATTCCTTCTCAACATATAAACCTATGCATATATATATATTCAGAAGTGTCCTGGTTTTGTTTCTCTGGAGAACCCTACCTAACACAACAGCGGTATGCAGGAAAGTACCTGAGAGGGGACGCATGCCCTCCATGCTACCTTATCCTCTGAGATGAAGTATTTTTATTTTAGCGTGATGTCTATGCATCGGGCTGCTAGCTGCAAGGTCAGTCATTCTTCTGGAGAAAGATGAGGTTTTCCACTCCCGTAAAAAGTTACAGTTTCAGAAACCCACAGGGGCCGTTCTACCCTGTCCTACACTGCTTTTGCTAAATGGTAGGTAAAAATTTCTCTATGCCAATACTTTAGTTCTTACAAACAGATAGTCCTTCTCGCAGGTCAAGATAAAATACAAGGAAAGCAACTAACGAATTGCTTCTCTTATTTTTTTAATAGAGGTACAGATGTTAGTTTTCAAAAGAACAAATTCTTCACCAAATAGGTGATAAATACTCAGACTTCCTTCCACTTTTGGATTTTTGATTGCTCACGTAGTGAGCTTTCTTCATTGAGCAGGTTCTGCTCTTTCCTCCATGCATTCCTGGAGTTCTCTTACAGCTGAGAACCATTGCTTCTGCCTTCGCCTTTGGGAACAACTGTTGCAATGTGAATAATCCAGGTATTGCGATATGTAGCGAGTGTATTTTGGCCCAATATCCCTCTTTCAACTGTGTTTTAAAAATTAGTGCCAGGGACTAATCCAATGAAGCATTAACAGAAGATCTTTATGCTCCAAGGGGAAGGTCGACAAGACTCTATCATAAATGAACAAGGAGGTCTCTAAAGGAAGCCAAAGGCAGATTAAAAAAATAAAAATCTAGGAATGGGTTTTGGGCTCCCACTGAATCCTAGCTCCATTTAAGAACATTTAGTTCTTACATGATGGCCCTATTCCATACTCACCCTCAGGAAGGGACCACAGAAGACATGGGTGCTATAGCAAAGTGTGGGAAGAATGGTGCCCGGCTATCAGACAAAATAGCATCTGGGGTTTTAAAGGCTTGTTTCCAAACAAACAGCCATCTAAGTGAGATGCCCTCTAAGCCCACATGGAAGAAGCACTCCAACATCAGTGACCAAAGAACTGCAAATCATATCATCTGAAGCCAAAGGAGAAAATAGTCTCAGAGCTCAGATGGTGCGGTTCTGGTTTGCAGAAGGCTGTGGATGACAGTGAGAGCCCAAGACACATTTGTGAGAGCTATGCAGGAAATGAGCCTCCGGCGATTTCCCCTGTACATGATGGAGGGATGGGAATAAACTGGTTAGAAAACAGAGAGTATTGGAGAGAGGACTACAGGAGATCAAAGTGATAAACCTGACTTGTCGGCTGATCCCTCCTATGCACTTTGGGCCTTATATTGTTTCCAACATTTTATGTGTGTGTGTGTGTTCCTTTTTCGTCATGTTAGGCTTTAGCTCTGAAGTACTTTGTAACTGGGATAGCCCAGTGAATTTTGTTATATGCTTTTCTCTGTAGATGAAACCCAGGATTGATGAACCTACAGAGACAGCAGGTGGAATAAGGGCTTCTGGGGGAGGGTGTGTGTGTCGGGGTGGGGTAAATGGGAGCTGATGTCAAGGAGTTCAAGAAGAATGTTTTGAAACTGATTGTGGTGGCAATTGTATGCTATTGCTGGATGTGATTGAACTATGGAATGATATGATATCTGTACTATCTACTAATAAAAAGGTTTTGGAAAAAAGAAAATGACTGGTTGCTTGGATTTTTTTTAAACTGCAATAACTAATTGCACTTTCTGTCAAATGCTCAAATCATTTCTTTATCCTTGAAATTCAGCAACATAATCTGTGTTTGTTCTGATTTGCTCTTTCAGTCTGTAAATTCAGATCT